AACCCTAAACCCTAAACCCTCTTATTCACGAAGAGGCCCTGGCAAGTTCCGTGGGCTCTGCCTTGGGTCCGCCTGTACCTGGGGCCCCAGTGATGTACTTGGGTGCCTTGGCGCGTGAAGCTTTCCGAAAAGGGCTCAGGATCTAGGGTTTTTTGGGTGTTCGGTCTTAGGGCTTAGGGTCTCTGGTACAGGGCTCAGGCTATTCAGGTTTTAGAGTTCAGGGACATGAGAAACAATCCTTATGACTGCTAAGGGACACAAAACCATGTCATGGTTCATTCATACGAGGACTAATGGGCCCCTTCTATCAGGAGGTGGTTCTATGCAGGTTCATTTGACAGGCGAAATGTGCTTGCTGTTTAGGGTTGCAAAGGACTTCGCAGGACCCTCAACCTCAGAAGGTGTTGAGGTTTAGGGTTTTGGGGGTTTGNNAGGGTTTCGGCTTAGGGCTTAGGGTTGAGGTTAGGATTCCTGGACCCGCTCCCAAAGCACGTCAGCAACACATCAAGGCGCCGGCGGGCAGCGCACGCCCCTCCACTGTGCAACCTGGCTGTTCGGGTTTGGGTTAAGGGCTCAATCAGAAGAGTTTTGTTTAAATGTGGACTTGTAATCATAGTTCAATACACATCTGGCCATCGGCCAAACCTCCACGACTGTTTTGTGCTACAGAAGTCATCGTCGTCGAGATTTCCTGAGGTTGAGCCCAAAATTCCAAAACCGCTAAACCACCAAAAACTCTAACTGCTCAGGGCTGGAACCTAAACCCAGGACTCACGTCCTACAAAGCTTAGAGTTTCGGGTTTAGGTGGAGTTTAGGGCTCAAGAGTGTCAGCCTTCAGAATTTAAGAATTTAGGACATAAGGTTTTGGGTGTAAGGGGCTGGCGTTCTATAGTCTAAAACCAGCTACATGTTGCACCTCTAAAGTTTCAACCCTTATGTCGTTCTAAAAACTACTCAAAGTGATCTGGGCTTCTTAGGTTCGGGCCCAGGATGTTTAACGGTTTAGGGTTTAGGGTGGTTTCTGGCTTCAATGACTGCTATAGTTCAGACCTAGCAGTGTGGAACCACCAGGTGATGGTAGAGTCAGCAGCCGTACAGCAGCGACATGTGTTAGGATCCGGGTTTTCTTGGTCAGTGGAGGACAGGCGTGCCTTGCTCGGGGTGTAGTATAGGGCCATGAAGATTTACCAGAATCATTCCTAAACCCTAAACCCTAANNCGGACCCCAAAATAAGGCACCCCGAAGTTTCGGAAACTCCCATATATAATGATAGGATACATTGAGGTCAGCTACCAACTCCTGCGTGCTAGCAGCGTCATCCCAGGGTTGAGTTCTAGAACCAGCAGAGGACCCCACTGAGAACATCACGGTGGTGGTCCAGGCAAGGTGCCCTGGTCATCGACATGAGAAGCAGAAGCTGCAGAAAACAAAGAACTTTAGAGGGATCAGGGGATTGTATTTGCAAGAAAGCTTATAACCAGTGCAATTGTTGCTATACGAAACTGGCCTGACCGGTCCATCCGAGGTTCTAAGAACACAATATCAGACAGCCCTTACGTGATTGAAAAGATAGGCTGTTCGGAGGCTGTTTGTTTGAGCTGTAGGTGGGGTGTAGGACCCCGGTAGATTGATTGACCCCGGTCCATTCATTCGACCGATTTGGCAGGGACAGCCCATTTCTTGGGCGTTCGACCTTACTTAAGCTGTAGATGGCCAGGAGGCTCGTACACGTAATGGAAGATCAGACAAGATCACAGAGAAGCAAATCGCACAACGCACACAGAACAGCATTCAAATACTAGTTTCCCACATAGCATCCGCACCATGTGGACCGAGTGTGTGGAGGCGACGTAGCATTCGCCGTGGCAGTCATACCCTCATAAGAGCACGATAGATATCAAATTGCAAAATCCGCCCTAAACCCTGAACCCTAAACCCTTGAAAAACGAAAGCCCAAAACCCTGCTAAAACCAAGCCGTTGGAGAACCCTCTTGACCCTTCGACAGACCCAAGAAAGACCTTCTCGCAGGCTGCCCTAAACCTCTAAGGCCCTAGAAACCCTCTGATTACAAGCCCACCACCGAAACCCAAAGCCCTAAATCACTAAATTCCTATCTCCCGAAAGTTTGAAAGCTCTTAAACAGCCCCAAA